CTGACCTTTCTGTGCCATCAGTAGATTAGCTCACAATCAATCAATCACTGCAGACTGCCTGGTGGAGGTCACAGAACGCACACTTGGGTGCCTCTGCCATGGAAGAGGAAGGAACTACTGTGCTCTCATTTCTCTTGCTCCTAATTCCCCAGAGAAAAGTGGCACCGTTCCTTTTTGTCATGTTTGTTTAAAGGGTATTGGTGTGTTTCTTAAATCTAATGGAATTCACTTTGGGCTCTTTACATGTGTAACCAGAGCTTCCCTTTACCCTTCCCTGAGATCCCATTTGGTCCTCTCTGCCCCCGCATCCTCCACTTACTCCGTCACTTGTTAATTCCTTTCCCTATTCTGGCCCCAATTTTGGGATGATTTTCCTGAGAAAATTGTGTATAATATAAACTGGACTTTTTAACATTAGCTTTTAAAGTGATCCACTTTTTCCTCTGAAAGCTGCCCATTTTTCTCTAATGTTTCTGCCTGGATTCCTTGATGGCATCCTGTGGGCTGTATTTATTTTCTTCAGTACCCTTCATTTTCAGGAAGCATAATTCTGGCTCAGATAGCAGTTGTTTAATGAAAAATAAAAATAGATGTGCACCTAGTTTTCTTTTGTGCACCTAGTTTTCTTTTGTGCACATGGACACAAACTTTTTTTTTTAAACATTTTTTGGTGGGTATCTGTGTCAATAAATAGAAAAGCTTGTAGACAAATTCTAGCTCACAGGACAGGGTAAGAGGATGAGTAGTCTCAACTATTCAGGTTTTTTTTTTTTTTTTTTTTTTTAATGTTTACTTTTTAGTTGTAGTTGGACACAATACCTTTATTTCACTTATTTATTTTTATGTGGTGCTGAGGACCGAACCCAGGGTCTCACACGTGCGAGGCAAGCACTCTACTGCTGAGCCACAACCCTGGTCCTTAGCTATTCTGTTTTATCCTGTCAGCTATTCTCTGTAATCAAAATCAATCCCACAAAGCTCACTTATTTTTTTTTTAATATTTTCAGTTGTAGATAGATATCTTTATTTTTTTATAGGGTGCTGAGAATTGAACCCAGTGCCTCACAAGTGCTGCTAGGCAAGCACTGTACCACTGAGCCACAACCCCAGCCTGCTCACTTATTTTCTGACTCTTATATTTTTCTGAGTATGCCTTCAGGATGACATCTGGTCATTGTGTCACTTAAGAGTGCAACTGATTTGGGGAATGTATGATAAAAACACCCAAGTATCTTTTTTTTTAATATTTATTTTTTAGTTATAGTTGGACACAATACCTTAATTTTATTTTTATGTGGTGCTGAGGATGGAACCCAGGGCCTCGCATCTGCTAGGCGCGTGCTCTACCACTGAGCCACAACCCCAGCCCACCAAAGAATCTTTTAAGAATTTCTTTATTACACTGATTGAATTTTATCTTAAAGAATATGTAATTCAAGGTATTTTTTAAGGTTAAGTAAAACCTTGCAAAAAGAACTGGATACTTTTCAAGATAGCAAAATCGATCAGTTAAGTAGCAGAGAAAACCAAAATGTTTATTTACTACCAGAAAATTTAGCTGAGAGTTGAATTAAGGGCCTATTTAGTTTTTCAGCGAAATGCAATCATTTCTTGAAGTGAGGGAAAATGCACTTGTTTCTGAGATATCTGAACCCCTCTAGTGTTCCTACCTGAGGGCAGGCAGGAGTTCAGTATTCCATGGGGAGAGGAAGACAGTAATATACCTTTGTTGCTCTTTCTTTAAAAGAGCCTTCTAGCATTAACTTCTCAAATTTTATTATTTGGGTATCTTCTAAAGACTCAGGCTGATTTTTTTCTTTTTCCTTAGAGTGTGGTCAACTTTACGCCTTGATGTAAAATGGCATCCAAAATGATACTTCTTTTTAGTCTAAGCTTCAGTTTCTTGTGTTTTAGTCACTTCAGATTGAATTCATGAGAGCTGCCTGACTCCAGACATGTCCCAGATGAGCACCATGCTGGAAGTCTATAAAACCCTGGCAGATGCTCCAGCTGTTGTAACACAAAAGAGGGCCCTACCCTGATTGGAGCCCCTTGAAAAAGCAGTAGGCTCCCCAGAGACTCAATACTGTTTGGTCTTCAAAGTGTTTTGTTTGTGTATTCCTAAGCCAGTAGTAAATTGTGTTTTAACATACAAATCAGGTTTCCTGGTGATACAAAATCCACACATAACTGAAAGTGAAATCATATATCTTCCTTGTATTTCACAGACTAACACCCACCTGTGGACACTTAACATTGTAGGAACAGTTCTTGTAAAGCAGCAGTTTACAATCTAGAGTTTCCCCCACATGACTTGCTGACCCTCTGCTGATTAAGACCATTACTCAATTACCTTTAGACTTGAGGTAGAACGACATCCTTATGTTTTTCTGGCTAATGTTTTGTATGATCATAGGAGAATGCCTGTGAGAAATTTATCTTTTTGAAACATGGAATTCTTATTAAAAGAGCTTATATTGTATCTGGGTGAGAAAAACAAGTTGAAAGAATAGCAGGTATTGTTGGTCAAAGAAAGTTGAAAGATTTAAATCAGATCTTGTCTATCAGTTTGTGTGTACATGTGTATTTACTGAGAGCTGGGAAAACTGGATATTTCATTTTAGTTATATATTTTTTAAATTTAAAAGGTACATTGTTCTTCCATGATTGACTCTTGATTCTTTTATTCCATCAAATGACAAAATAGGTAGGAAATTATCCCTACCTATTTTGGTTATAACACAAGAGAAGTACCCTAAAATCTTAAGTATTATTTCCAAACTCTATAATTTGAAGTGGACTTGCTCTTACATAAACTATAAGAAGAAAAGAAATCATTTCACTTTTATTGCTATAAATTTTCTAATGAATTTATGATGTGACAGTATGAATTTTCTTGCTATATGCTAATGAAATATTTTATCAACTGTTAGAAATTAAGTTTTTTGTTTTTTGGTTTTGGATACTAGGGATTGTATACTCAGGGGCACTTGACCACTGAGTCACATCCCCAGGCCTATTTTTGTATTTTATTTAGAGACAGGGTCTCACTGAGTTGTTTAGCACTTTGATTTTTGCTGAAGCGGACTTTGAACTTGCAGGCTTCTTGTCTCAGTCTTCTGAGCCATGGGGACTGCAGGCGTGTGCCACCATGCCCAGTGAAATTAAGTATTATTAATTGGAGATAGATAATGAGTTCATATACTCTCATGGTGATATCTGATACCTTTTGGTACCATTATGATTCTATTCTGAAGTAGAGCATTTCCCCATTGCCAAGTGTCACCCATAGTCACACCTTGTATTTTACAGGTTTTATGCTATAAATATTTGACTTAATATAAAATTATTTTTATGCAAGATAAAAAACATCTTATTTTAGTTAATCTTAGAATGCACAGAGAATGAATGACTGGGCCAAAAATAAGTAAACAGAGCTTCTCTTTCCTTTTAAATTTTTACTGCTAAAATCACCAACGAAAAAATTCACATCAAAACCAAATCCAAGAGCTGGGGTCCTGGCTTAGTGGTAGAGCGCTTGCCTAGCATGTGTGAGGCACTGGGTTCGATTCTGGCACCACAGATAAATAAAGGTCCATCAACAACTAAAAAAATCTTTAAACACAAAACAAAACAAAACAAAAAAACAACCCAAGGACTTTCACAGACACTATACAGTTCAATTTAAGTTATAAAGTGAAGAACTTTTTAGAAATCTTAACCTATTTTACTTATTTCTTTTGGTACCAGGGTTGAACCCAGGGGCATTCAACCACTGAGCCATATCCCCAGCCCTTTTTTATAATTTATTTAGAGACAGGGTCTTGCTGAGTTGCTTAGGGCCTCACTAAATTACTGATGCTGGCTATGAACTTGTAATCCTCCTGCCTCAGCCTCCCGAGCCACTGGGATTATAGGCATGTGCCACTGTACCCACTTATTTTATTTTCTTGATCAGGGTAACTAGATACATGATTAAACAGTTTTATTTTGCCACACATTTTTATATTGGATCGGTAGAGAAAAACTGAATTTTTAAAAATGTACATATATATTTTTTAGTTGTCGATGTACTTTTATTGTTTTTATTTCTATGTGGTGCTGAGAATTGAACCTAGTGCCTCACACATGCTAGGCAAGTGCTCTACCACTGAGCTACAGCCTCAGACCCTAAACTTTTTTTTTTTTTTTTGCAGCTCTAGGGATTCAACGCAGGCCCTGGTCCAGGCCAGGCCAGGTAAGCACTATCAATGAGCCACACACCCAGCCCAATAATTGAACTTTGATACTGGTCCCTTAGATACTTCAATGGTGAAACTAAGATCACTTAACCCTTGTGTCTGTGCCTTAGGAAAACTCTGGGTAGAGAGCAATTATTTATAAGCAAATATAAAATGTCTAAACTCATTTATTATGAACGAAGGATAATGAGGGAAAACTTGTGACTTTTTTTCTTGAATTAAAGGAAAAATGAGTCACAGGCAAAGGATTGAATTGAGAAAGAGTACCCTCAATAATACATAAACAAGGAAAAGACATAGTAGGCAGGAGAGAACTCTGTCCTGCTCAGAGATCCCTAGGAAATCCCCGTCCCCTCCCCCGGTCTCCTGCCAGAATGTTGGGTTTCAAAGAATGAACAGATTAACGGATATCAGTACTAATGTGGTCTCAGGAAAAGGAAGGTAATTGGCCTGATTTATAGTACTGGCCGAATCTTACAGGCCTGTATGGCTCATCTCTCCGCGAATGTTAAAGAAACTTAGTCAAGGAACATAACAGCTGTTTCTGTTGAAAGGATTTCCTGTGCTATGGAAACCACCCAAGACCAGGAGGGAAGCAAGAATAAAGAGATACACCCTGAAGGCAATAAGATTCAGAGTTGGATGGAAACCACCCACAAGGAAGCCAGCACAGATGTGGGGATGATATGTAAGTCTCTGAGAGTCATATCAGGGAGAGCTGCCACAGAGAGAGACAGACCCTATATCATCATTTGGGTCATGTCAGTGGCAGCATCACTGAGAAACTCAGCCTCCATCTTATCATCTCTACAGAAAAATCCAGTGGCCTTCACAGAAGCGAAGATAAATTTTCTGACTTGGATTCCCCAGAAGTGGAACTTGAGGCAGGGTCCAGTGCCAGGACATTCATGTATCAGGTTAGGGATCTTGATGCTGTTGGTCATTTTTTTGCCAAGCATGTACTGTTACCTGGGATCAGTATCTTATTCTTTCTATGAAATAGTCATCCCCAAGAGTCTGACAGTGGAGGGGCATGAAGACCCAGTGGGAAAGGCATCGTACATGCTGTTTATGCAGGGCCAAAAGCAAGTGATTCGTCTCAAAGTGAAAAGAGACTATTCTGTAAGTAACTTCCCCATCTACAGTTACCACAATGGCATCCTGGGGCAAGAAACGCCTTTCATCTCACAGGACTGCCACTATGAGGGCTACATAGAAGGAGTGCCAGGGTCTTTTGTTTCTGTCAACACCTGTTTGGGCCTCAGGGGCATCCTGATTAAGGAGGACACATCCTACGGCATCAAGCCCATGCTCTCTTCCAAACAGTTTGAGCATGTGTTATACACCATGGCACATCAAGCTCGAGTCTCCTGTGGTGTCACTTCCCAAGACAGACCAGTGTCCACCAGCCAGCAACAAGGGAGCAGGAATCCTCTTCAACTACAGGCACTGTCCTACTTGTGGTCACGCACCAAGTACGTGGAGATGTTTGTCGTTGTCAACAACCAGCGGTTCCAGATGTGGGACAGTAACATCAATGAGACAGTCCAGAGAGTAGTGGACATCATTGCTCTGGCCAATGTCTTCACCAGGGGAATAAACACAGAGGTGGTGCTGGCTGGAATGGAGATCTGGACTGAGGGGGACCTCATAGAGGTCCCAGTGGACCTGCAAGTTACACTCAGGAATTTCAACAGCTGGAGACAAGAGAAGCTCTCGCACCGTGTGAGGCATGATGTTGCCCACATGATCGTTGGGCATCATCCTGGAGAGACCATGGGCCAGGCATTTCTCAATGGTGCCTGTTCAGGTAGTTTTGCGGCGGCCGTTGAATCCTTCCATCACGAAGACATCCTCCTGTTTGCAGCGCTCATGGTCCACGAGCTCGGGCACAACCTGGGTATTCAGCACGACCATGCGGCCTGCATTTGTAAAGATAAGCACTTTTGCCTCATGCATGAAAACATCACCAGAGAAAGTGGCTTCAGCAACTGTAGCTCTGACGACTTCTACCATTTCCTTCATGAACACAAAGGGGCCTGCCTCTTTAACAAGCCACGGCACAGAAGCCGCAAGAGGGAGGCTGCTAGTTGTGGTAATGGTGTGATTGAAGAGGCGGAGCAGTGTGACTGTGGTGACAAATGTGACACTCACCCATGCTGTGACACACTTTGTAAACTGAAGGAGGGGGCTCAGTGTAGTAATGGACTCTGCTGCCATAGATGTCTTCTCAAAGGGAAGGGCACTTTATGTCGTCATTCTCGAGATGAGTGTGACCTCCCTGAATATTGTGATGGTCAATCTGAAAAATGTCCTGTGGACAGCTACAAACAAGATGGCTCATTGTGTGACAGAATTTACTATTGTACCAGGGGGCAGTGTAGAAACCCTGATAATCAGTGCCTGAGTATATATGGTCACCCTGCACGATCTGCCCCAGAAGAATGTTATATTTCAATGAACAGGCACCCAAGTCGGTTTGCAAACTGTGGCCATCGTACTGCAACGACCTCAGCATACGTTAGGTGTACAGATGAAAATATATTTTGTGGAAAAATTATATGTACAGGTGTTGCAACCATGCCAAGAATCCGACCCAAACATACACTGATCCAGGTTGCTCATGGTAATGACTGGTGCTGGGCCATGGATGCCTATAACCTTACTGACATCCTTGATGATGGTGATGTGCACCATGGCACTTACTGTGCTCCAAACAAAGTTTGCAGTGCTCACTCCTGTATTGATCAAGCTGTGCTCCATTATGACTGTGAACCAGAGAAACAATGTTATGGAAAAGGAGTGTGTAACAATTTCAGGCACTGTCATTGTGAAGATGGCTTTGCACCTCCTGACTGTTGGCGTCCAGGGACTGGGGGTAGTATGGACAGTGGCCCTCCTGGTAAGCCAAAGTACCTAAAACAACGCAAAGATAATTATAAAGAAACCCGTAAAACTGAGGATGATGAAGCACGCCTTAAAATGTTGATGATCGCTATCCCTGTAGGTCTCGTCACATTATTGTGTACTCTAATGCTACTTGCTTACCTCTGGTCTGAAATACGGTCAATGCTGTCATGGGATTCAGAGTCATCTACAGCCCCAGCAAAGGAGGCCCCAGCACCCAAAGGGGCCCCACCGCCCAAAGGGGCCCCACCTCCCAAAGGGGCCCCTCCTCCACCTGCCCCCGGGGAGGCCCCACCACCTGCCCCGGGGGAGGCCCCACCACCTGCACCAGAGTAGGCCCCACCAGAGTAGGCCCCACCACCAGTAGCCCCAGAAAAGCCTGCACCAAAAGAGGAAGCAGGTGAACTACATGAAAAAGAAAAGGCAGAAAAAAAGAAAAGGCAGAAATTTACTGGAGGATGAAGCCAAATATGTTAAACCACCCCAGGCATGGAAAGTGAAGTGAGAATTACCTGCACCGACTGGCTCTGAGGGGACTGTATTATACTAATGTGGGAGAAGGGATTTCTCCACTTTCAATATTCATTTTAGTAAATTTATTATATTTTCATATATGAAATCACATGAGATAATCTATTTTTTTTTTCTTTTTACACGTTACCTGAAGCGGTTTTATTTAAGCTATTTTCATGGATCATTGCTATCAATGTCTTTTACCAATAGGGCTGATTTTGAGACAACTGAAATGGTTCTTCAGGGTATGCCATCTTCCATCTGCATTGGTTGACAATGTATTATCTGAACCTACATTGCTATCTCTGGGTTATTTATTACAGTCATAATCACTGTTATGTAAGGAATATTATATTTGTGATTAGAAAATTCGAATTTGCCCTGTCAGATTCTGTTCATGAAATAATAGAGGTGATTTTAAATGAATAAAAGGCTTTTTTTTTTTTTTTTTTTCCAGATGAAGCAGCACTCTAGACTCCAGGTAGCTTAGAATTTGGGGTCCTTTGTATTGGGGCTCCCTGGAATGGCAAGGTCTGACCCATGGAGGTCTAACTCAGCCAGGCCAAGTGTTTGGAGAAGGGAAGGCAACTTACTCAGGAAGCCCCTTCAGTGTTGAGTTCACATTTCAAATATTTAATTTTTCATTTGATTTCTTAGTTTTTCTTTTAAATTTGATATTTTGTATACAGATAAATACTGATAAGAACATCTTTATATATAAGAGAGCTTTTATGTGATTACTTCTCTGAAAAATAAGCACAGAGCAAGTATAATATTATAATATTACTGTTTCTTCGCCAAGCACTCTGTTAACACTGCATTTACTTCTTAATCTTCCTAACTGCCCTGTGAAAACACCATCTTGTACATAAGGAAAAACATAAGAGCTTGCTGTGGAACAAGCTAGTAAGTGGTAGTACCTGCATCCCCCTCCCCCAGATAAGACCCAAACTATAATCTCTGCAGAACTGTGAGCCTTTTATTCATCAAAAAGTGAGGGGAAGACATTTAATACATCCTTAATTACCCAGCTTATGGGACTCCTGAAAACCACCTTACCAATGGATATTGACTTCTATCAAGAACTCACTACATTGTGTAGGCATTATGGATTAGAATGTCTTTAAAGTGGGCAATTAACTGTAGAAGCAGAGAACCCTAAACAACTCTCATGATTTGCCAAGCAGGTGGCAGTGGGAGCTTGTAGGAGGAGGCTGAAGTGGTGGTGTTGAGAAGAGCCTGGAATCCCAGGAGCCTGTGAGGTGGAGCTTTAGAGATTTGCTGATGGAGCAGATGTAGAGAATGAGAGAAAGGCATCAGAGAAGGCTGACACTGGTGGCTTTGCCCCAAACAACTGAAACAATGTAGGTGGCATTACTAAGATGGGGATGAGTGTGGAAAGCATAGGTACTAAACATGTTTAGAATGAGATGCCTGCCTAACACCAAGTGGGCATGTCTCCTAGGCAGTGAGATGACTGGGCTCCCTGGAAATCAGGAGAACCATCAGCCAGGATGAGTATCTGAGAGCTGACCATACCCAATATTTCAAGGCATGGGGATGGCTGACACTGCCCAAGGGAGCAAGTATAGCTAGAGAAGGGATCTGAGAACTAGAAAGTTTCAAGATGGCAAAATCGAGGAGATTGCTTTCCTGGACTCTTCATGGAGTGAAACCAAGAAAGCAGATAAACAGCTAAGCAAGGTGGGCGAACCAAAAAAAAAAAAGGGCGGGGGGTAGAGTGCTTTGGTGGCTTTATTGGAATTTAAAATTGGACATTTAAAACAGATTGGGGGCGGGGCGAGGATATGGCTCAAGCGGTAGCGCGCTCGCCTGGTATGTGTGCGGCTCAGGTTCGATCCTCAGCACCACATACAAACAAAGATGTTGTGTCCGCCGAAAGACTGAAAAATAAATATTAAAAAAAAATTCTCTCTCTCTTGCTCTCTCTCTTAAAAAAAAAAAAAAAAAAAAAACAGATCGGGGACTTGGGAAGTTGTATATGATAAAATAAGGAAGAAATCCCCAGTGGCAGAGCCACTACAGTGGCCAGACCAGAAGCACTAGCCAGAGCAGTCCCTCTGCAAGTCAAGTGGAGGGACAAGGGAATTAAAGGAACCCACATTTTTAGGAGACCTGAGGCCTATCTGGGTACAGAGTGTTTAGAGATCAAGGCCATTGCCTGACTTAATTGAAAGGCACTGCACAATATCCTTGTGTGGGGAAAAAAGCAGTGTGGCAGTCTGTGGAGGATAAAAGGAGGAACGATTTTCAGCTGTGGCATGGGGGCTGGCAGCTGAGGGAGCCACATTCTGGCAAACCCAAGTTTGGCCTAAAATATAGACCCAGTAAAAAAACACCGCATGCCATAGAGTGTGCTTGAGTGACCAGAAGAAAATCAAACTTGGAGAGAGGTTTACACAGGGGACAACTGGTTGTGGAAACCCACCTGGCTCTACTGCTCCCTCTCCTAACTGGCTGCTTGCAGGATCAGCTGGGAGAGATGCATCTGGCCATGCCTTTGGAAGGGCGGAGGTGGGAGAGACTATTTGGAGACTGAACCCAAAACCAGGAAACATGGGGTCTGCAGGTGACTTAGGGGACGAACAATTGGCTCCTCTATCACATGAGTAGAACCCAGGGGAGATACCTGGGGCCAGTCTTCCAGTATGGATCAGCAATTACTGGACCCTAGAGATACAATGATTTTAAATCTCCAGATCAAATGGCATTCAGTGAAGACCCTATAAAGCAGACAAGACACCCTCCACCCAGAAGACCCTTACCATAATTAAGCAGACCCACCATTTTTATGACATGTAAGTTCCTCTTCTTGTCAGAAAGCTTTATAACAGAACATCAGCACAAATTTGTGTAAAAAACTCAATGTTGGATAGGATTTTCGATTTTTTGTGAGGACTAAATTGCTGTCTTGCAAAAGCTAAGTTTGGCTGCAAACTTGATGATGTTTTTGCTTTTATGATAAAACTTGTAAAATCGCTAACTTAAAAAAATGTGACAAAAAAACACTTGTCATATAAACCTTCAACAAATTTCCGGACTTGAGGCCCAGAGAAATTTTAGGGACAGCCTCTTTGGACACTGCAGCTAATAAACTTCCTGAAAGTTCCTCAGGTGTCCAGCCTCTTCTGTCCCACCTGGAGCCATTCTAAGCCTAACCCTGCCTCCAGGAATTCCACCTATAGGATTTCCTCTTTCACCCCAGCAATCCGGAGGGTGGGGTATCACACTTCAGACGACCTTACCTAAAACTGCTGAGAAGAGAAGCTGAGACTCTTGAACTCCAACGGAAAGAAACTTTTAACTTTCACTGAGATATTTTTCCCCTTTTCCTTTACTCTGTTTAATTGGGACCTTAATGGTACATGGACATTTATACATACTCATATTTTTTTCTCATTTCTACCATTTTTAAAGCCAGTTATTTTTTTTTCTAGCATTTTTGAAGCCACGGATCAGTTTTTTGAGTAGGATGTTTGATTAGTATATTTTAGTTTTGTTTTCTATTCCTTTTTAAATTTTTATTTATGTATTTTTTTCTTACCCATGTTTCCCTTGTTTCTCTTTCTCTCTTTTCTTCCACTAAAAATCAGTCTTCGTTGTTCTCTCTTTCACCCTCCCTTTAATTTTTTACTTCTATCTTTTCTCCTCCTCCTCCCTTATAATCATCACATCCTATATCACTTCAGTTCTCTTCCTGTCCACCATTTGAAATTGTAAACCCTTTTGCAAACTTGCTGTTTTTATTGTAGGCAATAACTGATCACATCATTTCTGTTTACTGTGATAATTAACATTGTAGATGTCATAGTAGGAATCATTTGGTTTAATGCTGTATATTGTTTGCATTGGTTGTTATTATTTGTCTCCCCCCTAAACAGTGAGGTACTGGAAACCTTCAGGGACACTACAGGTCCATAGGGTAGAAACTCTACTACCTCAGATTCATACTGCTAGAAGTGTAAACATACAAATAACATGAAAAAGCAGGGGAACAAATTGCCCCAAAGGACAAACCAAGATACTTCAATAACAGACTCTAACGACACCATTGTGGAAGAAATATCAGAGAAGAAATTTAGAATGTACATAGTCAAACTGATCTGTGAAGTAAAGAATGAGGTAAAGAGTGAAATCATAAAGAAAATACAGGAAGTGAAAGATCACTTCAAGGGCTGGAGTTGTAGTTCAGTGGTAGAGTGTCTAGCATGTGTGAGGCACTGGGTTCAATTCTTAGCATCACATATAAATAAATAAAAAGATTCATCAACAACTTAAAAAGGTGAATTGTTAATGGCATTTAAAAAAAAGATCACTTCAACAAAGAGAGCGTCGGGAAAAAAAATCAAGCAGAAATCCTCAAAATGAAGGAATCAATAAGCCAAATTAAAGAATTCAATGGAAAGCATCACCAAGATCACTTGGAATACAGAGTTTCAGGCAATGGAAACAAAATATATAATCTTGAAAAAAGTTGATTCTGGAGAAAAGATATTAAGAGACTACGAATAGAATTTCCAAGAAATATGGGATAACATGGAAAGACCAAATTAAGATTTATTGGGATAGATGAAGGCTTAGAGATAGAAACCAAAGGATTGCACAATCTTTTCAACAAAATAATATCAGAAAATATCCCAAACCTACAGAATAAAATGGAAAATCAAATACAAGAGGCTTTACAGGAGCCCGAATATATAAAATTACAACAGACCTACACTAAGGCACATTCTTATGAAAATGCCTAACATACAGAATAAGGATAGAATTTTAAAGGCTGCCAAAGAAAAACAGCAAGTAATATCAATCTGGATCCAGACTAATCTGGATCTCAGCTGATTTCTCAACCCCAACCCTCAGAGCTAAAAGTTCTTGGAATAATATATACCAAGCTCTGAAAGAAAATGAATGCCAGCCATGAATACTATATCCAGCACAATTAAGCTTCAGAATTGATGGTGATGAATAAAAACCTTCCATGATAAACAAAAGTTAAAATAATTCACAACTAGAAAACCTACACTACAAAACATTCTCAATAAAATATTTCATGAAGAAATGAGAAATAAAAGTAAAAATGGACTTCAA